ACTGCTGAAGCCGCTGGGACAATTCATTTCTATGGTAGTCATGCAGCCGGAAAATTTGTTGATTTTTTGTTGGATCACCGACCAACGATCATCAAAGCTATATCATTTCGCTCAGTTGGAGGAACACCAATATGTTGTATACATTGTTCCAGAATTTGCTCCCATAACTTCTTCTTACTTTGGTCTGCCCCCGTAATCACATCAGAGGTAATGGACAACCACGCCCAACATAAAGCTTCATCTTCAGTCTTGGTCTAATTATTAGGTTGGGTAGACGGTTGTTTTGACGAGGGTTTTGAGTTACTTGATTGTGGAACACTAGTACCACAATATTGATGAGAAGGTTGGGATGGTTGATAACAAGGTTGGGATGATTGATGAGAAGGAAATTGAGAATCTTCTCCATGAAAATTGATATTCTCTTCGGGAAATGGCAAAAACTCATCGTTTGATGGGTTGAATTGGGTGTTGTAATAATATGGATGTCGAGGATCCATGGAATCGAAATGACTTTGAAAATAATATCTAAGATTGAGAAAATAGAAGAAGAAATAAGTTGAATGGTAGATAATAGAGATGTGATGAGTGATGGTAGGAGTTGGGGTATTTATAGAGATTTTAAAAATTTTAATTTAAATTTTTTTTTTAATAAAGTTATAAAATTTGAATTTTTAAACTTTTTTTTAAAATTATAGCCGTTAAGGCACTGTTTGGTACTGTAGAAACAGTGCCTTAACGGTCAACTATACTATTTGGCCTACTCATTTAAAATTTAAAGCACATTTTTTTTTTAAAAAAAACCAAATTTTAAGGGGAAAAAGGTAAAATTTGAATTTTTAAACTTTTTTTTAAAATTATAGCCGTTAAGGCACTGTTTGGGACTGTAGAAATAGTGTCTTAATGGCCAAATACACTATTTGGCCTACAAATTTAAAATTTAAAGCAAAAAATTAAAAAAAAAACAAATTTTAAGGGAAAAAACAAAAAAAAAAAAAAGTTTTTTTAATATATTTTTGGCCCAAATTTTTTTTTTTTTTTTTTGAACAAACAATACCTAAACAATATGTTTTTTATTTAATGAATTTAATTTTATTTTTTTCCCAAAAAAAATAGCTCTAAATAACCTATTTTAAGGTTTTTTTTTTTTTTTAAAAAAATATCTGCCATTGTTTGGAAACTGCCTTGCATTTGGACAAAAAAAGGCAGCCCAAATGGCGCCGTTTCAAACCAGGAAAAACAAAAAAAAAATTATCACGATCGCGGGCCGGCTCGCGGAATACCGCGAGCCGCCCCGCCAGCCTAATCTGGGCCCTACCATTTTCACGAGCCCGCTGGAGGAGAGAAAATTGGTTTGGCTCGCGGAAAGGGCCTTCTGCGAGCCCACTGCGGATGGCCTAAGTGCACCCGAATTAAATTATACTTACTTGGTATTGCGATTTAAACAAATTACACACAAATTAGTTATTTAATATTTATTATTTTGACTTTCCTTAGATTCGATACATTTATTCAATGACATCTGTGCCTTTTTTTTTTTTTTTTTTCGCAAACTTGTTGACCAAGTTTTTTTTAAATGACAATTGTATTTTTTTCTTGTATGAAAATCGTAACATTACGAATTTTTACGCTAAAGTCATTTTTTAACAAGTAGCGCATCGGTTTAGGAGGTCAAAGTAATATTAGCACAGTCTATTGGTGTGTAATTTGTCTAAACTTTATGAATTGTCAGTGTAATCTTTTCAAATTCAATGTCATTTTCTGAGAACTAGTGTACCAGTTCAGGAGAGGTCAAAGTAATATATGCATATTCTCATTGCATTCTCAGTTGCATTTCATATTGGTATATAATTTGTCTAAATTTTAAGACATGTCAATGTATTTCTTTCAAACTCTAAGTCAAATCTAAAAGTAATAGTGTAGTACAATTGTACAAATAATGTTCCACAGGTGTGAGAATTGTTGGTATAGCAAGCGATGGAGAGAGAGTAGTGTTGGTTGAGTGAACATGGTGTTGGAGAGAGAGTTTTGTATTGGAATTATTTTGGTATTTGAAATGTGTGGTTTAAAGTAGAATTTAATTTGCTGATTTGGGATGCAATAATAAAATTCCAAATCAAGTTAGTTCATAATATCCAAATAATAGATTTGGAATTGGAGCTCTCAATTTCAATTTCAAGAAAAATTTATATTAATTCCACCGCACAATTGTAAAGTTTAAATAGACTGGTCATATAAAAAAAAGTTGGTACATTTAACCATGTATTTTTGAATTGTTCAGCTTCTTTTGTTCAGTTTACTGGAGTTAAAGAGGTTCAGTAATTCAAATAAATCACTTTTCACTTCTCATTTATTTATATTTTGACCACTTTTCATTTATTTGGTCTTCTCTTTTTTGGGTATCTGGGTCCCACAGATAACACATTTCTTGCAACTTCATTTTCTTACTCCAAAGTTGAATGTTCAAACCTACAAACACCATTCTATACTTTTCAAAAAAAAAAAAAAACCATTCTATAAATCTCTTTTTTTTCCACCAGTAAATCAATGAATTAAATGGACTCAGGCTTTAGGCCAATTTGGTTAGAAAGAAATGGAAGAAAAAGAAAAGAAAAGAAGGATATTGTGTTTTTGTGTTTGGTATTAAACTTCCCAATGTAAAGATTTGGAAGGATACATTAAAATTGGATGTGTAGGTTTTATTATCCTCCTATAAGATTAGGAGGGAATGGAAAGAACGGGATAGAAATGCTAACATTTTAATGAAGTTTTGTTAATAAAGTACCAAATTTGTTCTTACTTTTATAAAAAACAAAATCAATGAAAAAATTTATAAAAGTAAATTCATTAGAATGGTTTTCTTTCATTTCATTTCTCGTATATTATTATCACCATTTCTTTCATTAATCAAGCAAATAATACTGCACTTTTGATTTTTTTTTTTTATTTTTTCTCTCATAATTAATTATTATTATTATTATTTTTTTCAAAGTACCAAACATAGCCCTAGCAACTATGCATACAAGCCAATGCCAATTGCCAAATATACCTGTTGCTCATGTGCTAAGCCAGTTGGCATAACATGCCAGGTGGCAAAAACTATACATTAATGGTGATGTATCAGCCGTTGATTCAATGATCTTGGCCGACAATGCTCATGTGTCACTGTAGCAAAACTGCAGCACTGACATAACTTAGGCTGTGATTCTTCTCTGACGGTGGCAGTCGTTTCCAGTATAGAAGATTGAGCCAAATAATTGTTGCCACGTGTCATTTAACTGTACCTGGATATATGCCTCTGAAGATCTCACGATTAGACATTACTATGATAATTAGGTGGGGACTCTTTTTACTTGTTACTTTATTCTAAGATTTTTGATTTGATGTGTAACTGTAAATTCAAATGGTCATTTTGATCACAACTTGATAAGAGTTCTGCATTTTTCATTTCTTCCGCCTTTTATGTCATAGATAATTGAATTTGTGTAAAAATTAGAGGCACCTTCTTTAGAATTGGAGGATATGTATATATAATATCGAAAATCTCATACAAGGAGTATTGTATTTTTAATTTTTAATATGATAGTGCTTTTATGTTTCAATTCGTGCTTTAGTATAAGATGCAACTACTAGTCTAATATATCAATAAAAATTAATATTAAAACAAATGGAGAAAACCTTCCTGAAATGAAACATTAGTTTATACGATATAATCTCTAATTTAAAAGAAAAAATTGAGTGTGTCAAAATGGTTCGATCGAAATTGCACAAAAATTAAGTAAACATTAAAATTTTGTATTTTAGGTGTTCACATGATAAAATGAATGTCCATTGTCGCTCTTTTTTTCGTGTCACAAATTATTGTTTAAACTTTTAGATAAAATAATATAACTATATATATATATAAAATAAAGAAGAAGACACTCAAAAATTCTGAAACCTTTTAATTGTAAATGCCTTTTCTGCCCCTAAATAGAAATGTGGTTTATATGAGAGGTGTCTGTATATGTACAGCTCAGTCCCAACAAGTGTCGTGCAATGGTCAAAAACGGAAGCGACACTATGGAAGCGTGTAAATTTATGCATGGTACATTTATGCATGGTACAGTACACATTTGGTTTTTCAGCAAAAGATAAGGACTAACCATACAAGTCACGCAAAAATCTGCAATTCCATTCAATAATTTTTGACTCTCCAATCTTTGTAACTGAATTGTCTTGCAACAGAACAAAATACCAAGAAATATATGAGCTGTGTTAGTTGTCATTTTCTTCTCCTTTTTCAAAATCTTATAATCACTGTAAAAAAATCCGCATTGTAACAAATGCACAGTGAGAGAGACCGACTAGAGAGAGAAGCAAAAGGGTATTGAAATTTACGTTCTTTCTCTTTGGTCCTCTGTTTTTAGTTTCTGCTAATGTTTTCTTGTACATGTGAACTGAAACTGTAACATTGGTGTGTGAGCTTCATTAATACTAGCTTATATAGTAGTACTAGTGTGTGTGTATATATATATATAATTCCCTTGAGTTTCTTTAGAACTTGCAATGGACAGTTGTGATGGATTCACGTTGTCTTATGGTTTTATTATCACATGTCGAGTCTCTCGACAAGTGTAACACGATTCATATATTAAGTAATTTAACAAAGTAAACTTTGTCACGATGAATATGAAAACAAATTTTATGACTCTGCTAGTAAATTTAAAGAGGATTTATTGACTGAATTAGAATTAAATGAAAATATAGAATTCGTGTAACACTTAGAAAAAAGACATTGTTGTGTTGTTTTTTTTTTTTTTGTGTGTGTGTATGTATATATATATTATATGATTATTATATGTATTTAAAAGTCCAGCAGTGAAGAAAAAATAGTAATAATTTTGATAAAGTTGATGCTTTTGTAGCTTTATCTTTAGGTGATGACTGATGAGAGAGAAAAAGAAAGGGTAAAGACTGTGGACTCCAACCCCAAATTGTTAAAAACTACTAGTAATTAAGAGATTCCTTTTGGGACTTGGGATGGGTCACACAGAGGTATTTTGGTTTCTTTCTCACTTTGGATTTGCAAGCTTTTCTTCTCTTTTCCTCTTCTTTTTCTCTTTAGGCACCTTCACATTCCCTTTATGTCTATTGGGTTGATACTTCTCCTTCAAGTTGGTTTCTACAGTAATACATTCCCTCCAAAGAACCCTTCACTGTTTCTTCAATCACCTTCTCAGAGAAAAGAAAAAAACAGTTTCTCTTTTTAATTTATTTATTAATTTTTATTTTTTGTAAAAAAAGCTCAATAGATATATGCATGTAGTATTGGATTAGGCTTTAATACAAGTGGTTTTGTGGGGTGGTGGATTTGTTTTTGGGATCGTGATTATCTTGGTTTGAGAGATTTGGGATTTGGGTTTTGTGGAGATTTGGGTATTGTTGTTGGTATAGTGTAGGGTGGTGTTTGAAGAGTGAGAAAGTGAAAAAGAAAAGCAGAGCAAGAAAGAAGAGTGATGGCAGGAGGAGGAGCTGCACCACCGCCCAAACAGGAGGAGTTGCAGCCACATCCGGTTAAAGATCAGCTGCCCAACGTTTCTTACTGCATCACTAGTCCCCCTCCCTGGCGTGAGTTTCCCTCATTGTCTGTTCCATTTCATCTTCGTTCTTACGCGCACGCACACACACAAGTATTTGCATATGCTCTTATTTATGTGTGTATATTAATATATATGTTGTCAGCTTCTCTAGTTTTTTGGCACTTTAATATGCATTTTGTGTAACTTGGAGTCTCCTCTGGGTAAGTTCTCAATTCGTACTGATTTTGTTTCCCCTGCTTTGTTTACATATTTTTTTGTTGACATTTATTAGAGTTTTACAGTGATTCAAATGAAACCCAATTCATTTTCTTTTTCTTTATTTAGGAAATCCATTTTTTTTTGGAGAGGTAAAGTAACGAATTTAGGGGTTTTTTAGAATTTTGAGTGGTGACTAGGGGCACCTAGTTCCTTTTATCGTTGCAAATGAGTTGCTTATTTGAGAATTTAGGAAATCCATTTTGTTTTGCTTATCTGTGATTTTTGTTGCAATTGGTTGGATTGAGAGAGCCTTGCTGAATAAGTACACAATTCTCATGTTTTTCTGTTTTGTTTTGTTTTGTTTAATTAATTAATTAATTAATTTTTTTTTTTAATAAAAAACCTGCAATTGTTTCTCACGATTTAATTTTAATGTGATTGTGATGAACTGTGGGCTGTTCCTAATGCAGCTGAGGCTATATTGCTTGGGTTCCAGCACTATCTTGTGATGCTTGGCACAACAGTTCTCATTCCCTCCACTTTGGTTCCCCAGATGGGAGGAGGACATGTAAGACTCTGGGAAAGACACTAATAATTTCATCATGCAATTTCCTAACTTGAATTTCTATATAATGGGTAATTATGGAAGTATTTATCAATCTAATAAGAATTCTCCTTAGGAAGAGAAAGCGAAGGTGATCCAGACATTACTGTTTGTGGCTGGTTTAAACACATTGACTCAGACATTGTTTGGCACCCGATTACCCGCAGTGATTGGAGGATCTTATACCTTTGTGCCTACAACAATTTCAATTGTCTTGGCTGGTCGATACAGCGACCTTTTGACTCCTCAGGAGGTTGCCTGATGAACCCTCACTTACTTTTGTTACTAGCTGTCTGTTGTATTTGTGTCAATCTGATTGCTGATTTGTGATGGTAATCCAGAAATTTGAGAAGATAATGCGAGGAATCCAGGGAGCACTAATTGTTGCTTCAACCCTTCAGATTGTCATTGGTTTTAGTGGCCTTTGGCGCAATGTCATTAGGTCGGTTAAAAGCTCTTGCTGAATGCAAGTTATACTGACTTTTTCTTTTCGAGCTATACTTGTAGAATTGCTCCAAAAAAATCTGAAATCCAATGCTGGATTTTTATCATGGTTTCTTACAATTTGTGAAGTGACTGAAAGTTATGCTAATTAATTTCATATAATTTTTACATGTGCAGGTTCTTGAGTCCACTCTCTGCTGTTCCTTTGGTAGCTCTAACAGGATTTGGGCTTTATGAATTGGGCTTCCCTTTGGTATGTATTTATGTGGTTCTTTGTATGTGTTCATGTGGTTCTTAGTGGGATGAAGAGACGTGCAGAAATCACTCTCCTTCTCCCAAATTGTAATTGTATGCTTTGTCACCGTTGGCTATTGATTCTTGAATTGGATGTCTAGGTTGCAAAATGCATCGAGATTGGATTGCCACAGCTCATATTTCTAGTTATTTTTTCCCAGGTAATGTTTAATAGTAAAGAGCTTCAGATCTGATTCTACATTACATACGATATTCCATTCCTTGTGTATTGCTTTTCATTGCAATGGTCTAGGTTTCGAGCTTTATACATTTTTTTTTCACTCCTTCATTAGAATCCTAAATCGTCTTAAGCAGATTGGTGTTTTTCTCATCAGCATCACACATCTTAATGTTTTCAGTTTATACCTCATCTAATGAGTGGGGAGAGGCATGTCTTTGACCGCTTTGCTGTTATATTCTCGGTGGTGATTGTTTGGATTTATGCTCACCTACTTACTGTGGGTGGGGCATATAAGAGCGCACCCATGAAAACTCAATTAAGCTGCCGAACAGATCGTGCTGGACTTATAGGTGCTGCTCCATGGTAAGGCTAGTTGTTTATCTTCTAATTGATGTTTATGATTCCCGTTATTATGCTTTATGTGATCATGAGTTCCAGACAGTATATCTATAAAAGTATACTCAAATAGGAAAAATCCATGCTAGTTAGCCTACTTTATGCAATAAGCTAGAATAAAGACTCCGGTGAATGCAAGGTTTAGCTGTTCTCCTGATAACTTAAGGATGCATGGAAAACCATTGTGGGGTGTCATTGTTGATAACTGTGACTTATTTTTCTTCTGGACATTTTCAGGATTAGAGTCCCATATCCATTTCAATGGGGAGCTCCCACATTTGATGCTGGAGAAGCTTTTGCAATGATGGCTGCATCATTTGTTGCTCTTGTAGAGGTATTGTGCTTGTTAGTTGAAGCCTGAGATACATCATTAAACATTTGGATTGTTTCTCAGGGAACCATCAACTTGTCACTTCATATTATTGTTTCCTGTTATGCATCCGTTGTGGTATTTATGTGCTTGTGTCGTGTTTAGTTTCTCTTCTTATGCAGCCGGTCCCATTCCCTAAAATGGAGGTTGGTTACGTTAGGTAGCTTGATAGTTAGTTTATGAGTTGATTTGTTTCTGCAAAATTTGTATGAAATATCTTATCCAAAGCTGTATTTACTTTTGAAACAGGCACACTATTGCACAATCTCTTTGATATTTCTATCGCAATACTTTCCCCACTGTTAGTGGCATAAACCCTAACTCTTCTACATCCATCTTTGAAGTTTGAACCTTATTACGAACCTAAGTTATATAATACTTGTATTCTACCTCCATGCAATTTTTGTGTTTCTTAGCCGTTCTCCAAGTAGAGTTCACACTGCCTAGTTCATTGGATTCTTTTATTTACACATATATATTGCTGTTTTAAGTATGAAGAGTTTGATGCTTTCATAATTGGCATTTTGTACTGTGCATAGCCACATCAATTCACTGGTTTCTTTGGCAGTTTTTTAATGTGGATAGCTTTGCGAATTTATTGATCTCGTGTACTTTTGAAATGTTAACAGTCCACTGGTGCCTTCATTGCTGTGTCAAGGCATGCAAGTGCAACTCCTGTGCCACCTTCTATTCTCAGTCGCGGTGTTGGTTGGCAGGTAAAATTGACTTAGTTATAAATTTGTCTATATTTTTGCCTTCATTAACACCTCAATGCTGAGCCTAAAAGACTCCAGATATAGCGCAATTTTCAACTCTCAATTTTTACATGGGCTGCTTTACCAAAATGAATAATTAGAATTAATGGCCTACTCAATATTGTTGAACCTCCCCCCAACTAAAAAGAATGGTTCATGCATAATTTAACTAAAATTTTCATCTGACATGGTAGTGGCATTTAACTAAAAAGACGACTCTTTGTCTTGAAATGATGGGAAACTAATTTGCCATGTCACTTTGAATGCGATTCTTTTGGTCATAAATTCTGTTCATAAAGTACTCTAAATTTGACTCTGTAATTGTTAATGTCCTGTGTGTTCTAATCATCTTAATTCTGTTGTTTATTGAAGGGAGTGGGCATTTTGTTCTCTGGAATATTTGGAACTGGGAATGGATGCTCAGTATCAGTGTAAGATTCTTGTGCAGTAAATTTATAAATCGTGTTGCAAATTTTCATTCTTAATCAGCAGGGGAATTAAACTTGATTTTTCCTCCCATTCTACAGTGAAAATGCTGGTTTGTTAGCATTGACACGTGTTGGCAGCCGAAGAGTTGTGCAGATATCTGCTGGTTTCATGATTTTCTTTTCCATACTTGGTAAGTTAGGTGTTAAGATGTCCAAATAATGCAAATAATCCATAGTTCAAGTGTTTAACCCATAGTAAATAAACCTTCATTTCCAAGTACATTTGTTATACATAATTTACTATTCAGGGAAATTCGGAGCTGTCTTTGCCTCAATCCCAGCACCAATCATTGCAGCTCTGTATTGCCTTTTCTTCGCCTACGTGGGTATGTGTTACCAAATGAAGAAGTCCCTATTTTATTCTAATTTTTCTTCTCGAATCATGAAGCAGTTCAAGTTCAATAATTTTTCTTTAATTGTGAATGAGCAGGTTCAGCAGGTCTCAGTTTCCTCCAGTTTTGTAATTTAAACAGCTTTAGAACGAAGTTCATCTTAGGCTTCTCGGTTTTCATGGGTTTATCAATACCACAGTATTTCAATGAGTATACAGCAGTTAACGGTTATGGTCCTGTCCACACCGGAGCAAGATGGGTATATGCAACTACCTCTGTCCTCTCCATACCTTAAAGCAGCTTCTTATTTCTCTATTAATTTGGTCCCATCTAAGGTTAGACTTCTCATTTGACAGTTCAATGACATGATCAATGTGCCTTTCTCGTCGGAAGCATTTGTTGCCGGCATGTTGGCACTTTTTCTAGACGTCACACTGCATCGCAAAGACACTGCTACCAGGAAAGACCGGGGCATGCATTGGTGGGACAGGTTCCGGTCATTCAAGACGGATACGAGGAGCGAAGAGTTCTATTCCCTGCCCTTCAATCTCAACAAGTTTTTCCCATCAGTGTGATTCTCGGGTGGTTGTTTTTGAGGCAATGTGATCCAAGTCATGAGCTTGCTCCTAATAGCTCATTGTGGGTAATTTTACTTTGATCATCAATCTCTTTACTATATTTCTTCACCTCTTTTTCATTTCAGTCTTTAATACAAAAAACCATGTTTAGTATAGATGAATCTCTTGTTCTTGCAGCATTATCTGGTGAGCAGTTTCATTTTCTGATATTCCCTTTTTAATCCCTGTATGTGAAACTGGTGTGATGAAATGTAGTATGAGCATCATTTTCAGTTACTAAGATTTTGCAAAACCCTGTTTGTGTGTGTGTGTGTGAGAGAGAGAGAGACAGAGAGAGAGAGAGAGAGAGAGAGAGCTAGTTTTGGTCAATCATTTATGCAGGAAAAAAATTGGATGGAAGGGGGAGGGAAATGATGGATGAGACATCCTAGGTAAGAGATTGTGTAATTCATTCTTTTTATTTATTTGGTTGGATAGAAGAAAAGAAAATAATGATTATTTAATGTACTCCAATGTATTGCTGAATGATCATTTAAATATACGAATTAATGTTGATAAATTGAAATCTTATCTATTGGGTTATAGTTAAAAAAAAATTAAAAAAAAAAAAAAAAAACAATATTAGACTATTTTAGGAAAATTTATAATTCGCGGATGTAATCCGATCCGTTATTCCATGGATAGGTGACGGATTCAGATTTTCCCAAACTGTTGGGAGTGGATCGGATTAGGATAGATGTCTAATCTGATCCGTGGCCACCCTAGTTTAACGATCCATTTTCAGTTACCGTGTCATCTTATTCAACTTTACCACTTGCAAATTTAGTTATAAAAGAAATTTTAACATAAAGTATAACAAGATGCTGAAGTTGGACCCCAAGATTGAGGTATGCAAAGTCGAGAAGAGAGAAATTTTAACATGAAGTTGAAATGATGAAAGGAAAAGAGAATTACAAAACCATGGCGTGTTTTAATACAAAATATAATATATTTTTTTAATGCTCCATTTGGTTGTTGAGAAAATGAGGGAAAGGAAAAGAAAAATAAAGCATTGAAAAGCTTTCATTTCCCAAACCAGAAAATAAATAATAATAATAATAATAACTATAATGGTTTCCTACATTTTCTCAGCAACCAAATGAACCATAGTGATACTACTCTCTGAACTGAGAAAATGGAAAAGAAAAGAAGATCCCAAGTCCTATATTAAAATGTTTCTGCTGCTGTTAAGTCACAAAACATGAAGCCCTTTATGATGTGTTGCAATGTCTCCAAAAACAAAGGCAAGTTGATCTCAAAATCTTGTCGCTTCTGTTTGTGTGTGAAACAAGTTATAGACATGTCTCTACGTACCCAACAAAAAGTGAAGAAAAGTTTTTAACTTTTGATCATTCATGCATTTGCATTATGTAAAATTGAGGGAGGAGACAATTAATCAACTATTGGTAATCAAGTCTAACTTTTCTAAGTGATATAGCAAAACAAATATGTGAATTCTTAATGAATTAAAGTACTATGTAGATATAGATATTATCTGTTTTGTATACATAAATTTGGTGTTTGAAAATATAGGAACAAAAATGAGCAACAAAACTTTCAGGCGATTCTATTACAATCAAAATCTTCCTAAATCTCCTTGAAAAGTTAGTGTAAGGGCTTTGAAAGCTTGATCTTAGACCTGTGGTTGAATGTTGTTTGAGTTTTTCAAAGTTGAAGAAGACTTAAATAGATTTCCCAACGAGGAAGGGTTGTTGGACTTGATCTCAAACGGTGAATTGAAGTCCTTTGATGAAGAACGGCATAGATGTGACACTCTTGTTGTTCTTTATTTTTAAAAACTCTGTGACACTCTTGTTGTTCTTTATTTTTAGAAACTTCAGCGTTTTTGTTGAGTCGGAGATTACGCTCTTCGTACTCACAATTTTTAAAATACGTCTAAAGCATTAAAGAGTGTGCACAGCTAAGACTATCAACAGGCTTGTGGTCTAGCGGGACAAGGTTCCTACTTTCCAAATTTTACCATCCAAAAAGATTTGTGATTTTGAAACATGTAGTCACTTTTATTAAGGTGTTATTTGTTTCTACCCTAAAAATTTTACCATCGGATTCTTTAACAAAACAATTTGAGGATGCAACAAAATTGAAATATGTAGTTCGCAATATTGAAGAATTCTCTTAAACACCCATTGAACCGGTAAGAATAACAATAAATAAATAAATAACTTGGAAGAATATATAATAATATATATCACTATTCAAGAATAGATGTATCTGTTCAAAATACTTGAAAGAACGGTGATTTTTAGCAATTGGTTTTATACAATCTTTCACTCTTCTCACTTTTTATATTACAAATTTACAATATATCTAACAGAATTTCCATAATATTTCCCATATATATGTATATATTGTTATACACACAGTTTTCCTTCTGTGTTGATACCTCTTATCAGGTTTCAAGTAAATTTGGCCATGTTATTTAGTCCAGAATTGATTTAGAGGGTCTCTTAGTCTGGATCATGGCAAGTTCATTTTAATCATAAAATAATAATAATAATAATAAAAAGCCTCATGAACAAACATGCTCTGTTATTTTACTTTCCAGTCCTCCTTTAATTGATTACATTCGCATTTGCAATCTAGAATTTTTTTTCTCCACCTGATCGCCTATGGGTTGACTCCATAATGGTTCAAGAAAAAGCTGTCAACCTGATAATATATAATTATATGTGTATGTGTATATATATATATATATATCAGAATATAATCTGACCATCATCAAGGAGAAAGCACAGCATTCCAAAAAGGTAATATTTACATTAATTAATTAATTAATTAATTAATTTTTTTTTTAAAGATTAAGCTTTTCAATTTTTTGCAATATATGATTCCTTCTATTTCAAAATTTATAAATCACAATTTGCAAAACAGACATTCATTTTAAAACAAAGATAGTACCGTATCACGATAACGCGTATAGTTTTTCTTTTTCTGATGAGTCCCCAGTGATGCTATGAAAAGATTTGATTCCTGTAATGTTAAAAGTAAGAGCTGTTTTAAGAAGCACAAATGCAATCAGATGCTGCATTAAATAATAGAGAATATATTAATTGTTTGTCATTCCACTTTAAGATTTAGTCATGTGTTCTTGGCCACTGCAGTCTGTAGCCTTTTGTTTAATGAATTTGTACAAACGTAAACAGCCCACATCTTTGACTGTACAAGAGCAATCTTAATCATCCAATAAATAAGTTTTATATAAGGGCTAGTTAAATCCACGAGCCTCTCGAAATTTGAAGAAAGGTCCATATATATAAATAAGTTTCATAAGGGCTAATCCAATCTACGGGCTCTCTGTCTATTGCAGATGTCGTTTTCATGCTCAGCTCACATTCTTTCTTGCATTTTTTGCACGCTCTTGCTCTTGATCCTTCTATGTGATTTAAATTTTGCTGCTTTCGCGTTTCAGCTCCCACTCCCACACTCGTTCTGTGTAACTCATATCTTAACACTCCAATAAATAAGTTTCATATAAGGACTAGTCCAATCTACTACGAGTTTGATAAAAGTCCGATGTGTGCAACCTGAACACAAAAAGGGATTAAGGTATAATTTTAAAAAATTTGGTCACTTGATATTGCAAAAAAACCAATAATAATAAGGCACTCAAAGGGGTTGAAGTTTCATACTATTATTTTTCTCTGTTGTGTCTGTAAATTGTTTCAACAAACAGTTCCTGTTCCTCTCCACATTAGTAAACCACAAATTTTGTACCAAACATGTTCTTAAAGTTTAATCTCTTGTTCATGAACATATACAAATAGCATCGATTTTATTTCCTTTCATTGTCCCTATGATCTCCAACAACTACAATTTATTAATATATTTTTCTTTAAACTAGTCCAAATCATTTACTGTGTTTTGTACTATAGGGGAAGAATGTGGAGTAAAAAACTTTAAAACCAAACAATAAAACCCCACTTACAAGACTGCCCAAAAGTAAAGATGTTCATATTAGAAATCAGAATGTTTAAAAAGCCTAAAGACAACCAAGCCCTAAAAATGTTGGCCCCACAAGGCACAATCTATGAAAAAGGCAGTGTTTCAGTGTCCCTTTGCTTCTACTATGTTAAAAGCTGTCTAAATATGGAAAATATAGGACACCCATCCTTTGATATTTAGGGTTGCCTGACCCACAGACAGAGTCATAAGAAGTTAACAGTCCCTTCATTTTATATCCAATGGTTGTAGACTTGTAGTCCCGCACATGAGTCATGTTCAAACATGAAAATAGTCCATTAACCTAATATTTGAACCCAAGATCCCAAACACCTCACATGGGCTTTACATGGACTGACATGAATCGGGGATGTGTTTTACACATTTGAATCATGGAATATTTTCAAATATGGAGTAAACTATGAACCAGATTCACAAGAGTCAAAGATCTTCACTAAGATCACTTTCTTTTAAGTTAATTCTAATATTTGCTCAAATCCCAACTATAATTATAAAATAATAACAATAATAATAATAATAATAATAATAACAATTTATGTGTCTTTTACTTGTCTTGTAGATATGATTTAAGGTTTCACAATGGAATAGGTGAGTTTGGTGGCTGTATTTGCCTGTGAATTACACATTTGTTCAACACTGCATGCATCTTGATATTTATACTCCTTCTCCGTCTCAAATTAAAAGTCCTCCGTCTCAAATTAAAAGTCCTCTTTTGTGAGTTACAGTTTCTAAATGGGACTTTTAATTTGAACGGAGAGAATATATTATATTATCGACAATTGTGGTGTCAGACCTCTTAGAACATCACATAATTTACCACCGAACACATGTAGTCCCCCGTCTCAATGCATTGATTTGAAATTAGAAAAATGATAAGGAGACAATTCTTTTGAGACGGGGAATAATTAGAAATAGGTTTTAATGATATCTTCTAAGTCAATTACTGAGCCACTATCCTGATTTGCATGTTCTCTCTCTCTTTGTTTTTAACGAAGAGATTGAGAGTTCGAGTTGTGCTAAAGATGCATTCGTGGGAATGAAAAAAAAAAAAAAACAAAAAAACAAAAAAAAATAGATAGATAGATATGTTCCACATCACTTCCCACACACTCCAGTAGGAACCATTAACAAAGCTTTGATCATTAATAGTGCTTATTAAATATGTTAATTTATAGAAGAAGCATCTTTAGAAAATGCAGACGTCTCTTTAAGTTTATTGAAGTTGCATTGGAGTTTGAAGCTTTTACAACAAAAAAGTTGTGCCTACTGTTTTAATATACCCATAGAGAGATAGTGGGTGCTTCAGATGCCTTAACACTTAAGTTCTGGCAAGTGTTTTTATTTATTTATTTATTTTTTATTATTGGCAAACACAAGGGACTCCAACACAAACACCCTCATCTGGGAATTTGGATTCCCGTTTGGGGAATTGGATGCTCTACTAACTAGGTCTAATGAGTGGCCGCTTGTTCATTTATAGGCAAGCGTCCATCGTTACACTTAATATCAGAACCAGACCCATTTTTTAATCCGGTGTCACGCCAAGCGCCCGGTCCGGAGGCGTTCAAGTCTGCTCCCCGGGTAGGCAGGGTGGCCTATTTGCCCAAAAGCTATTTTTGGATAAATGGACAAGCTCCCACCCGTTACAGTTGTTATTAGAACCATACTCAATCCTTAATTCAGTGTCACGTCACAGTCTGAATGTGTCCGAGTCTGCTCCCCAGATGGGTAGGGTGGCCCGACCGCAACGAGGGCGTTGCACGAGTTCGGGTGAGAAAGAATGTTACAAGTACATCGGATCCAAATGAAAATTGAAAGATGTATAAATGGGTGGATATGTAATATAACCTACTTAAACTTTTGGGTAAATAGGCAAGCTCCCACCAGTTACACTAGGCCACTAAAGAATTCTGCAAGTTAAAATAGTTCAAGATAAAGTGAATCAAATGGGTGAATTAACCACCAAACATTTTTGGTTGGTAATTGTTTCTCCTACTACTATTTCTTAAATTGTTGAACTGAATGAGAGACTTTATATGTCATAATAATACAATTTAAAGATCCTGCTGATAGAAAATTTGCATGAGACTTGGAGTACAAAAAGCTAAGTTTTTTGGTGTATAAGATTGGATCAAGATCCCCTCCTGTCCGATTTTAGCTCCTGTTTTGTTCAGTGCGCTTAAATCGACAAAGGTAATATTTTTAGATCAATAACACAACACTAGTAAAACTTGTTTGAACTTTCGAAAAAGAAAAAACATAATTTTAAATCAGCAATGCTACAACTTTAAATTGACAATACAACAATTACGTAAATGTGTTAAATTTTTAATTTAATAATGTTACAGTGTTGCATCGTTGTTGTATATGTGACGAAACGTGTTGCCCGATTTAATTTAATAGTGCACAGAATGACACTAATCGAATCCAACGGGATGAGGGATAGGAGAGGATCAAAGACATATATAATAAAGGTTAGATCACTCTAAGATACCAGCCAGTTAAAAAGATAAGAAAGATTATGATTCTGCACAATCTGATTTTAGCTTTTTCTTTTCGAAAGATATCAATCTGACCAAGCATTTAACATAATTAATGTCATTCTTTCCAGAAGTAAAGGAAAAATCAGATCCTGCACAGTTTTATAGACCTAAAAGATATCTTCATAAATGTAGTAGAATAGATCTATTTGAACTTTTTCACACCATCCAAACAAGTAACATGTTTTTTGAAGTTGTCTCAAAGATTCACCGGAAAGAAATAATGGTCAGTTTGGTTGAATAAAAAATAAAAAAATTAAATTTGTTAGAAGGGTGTTTTCTGAAAACTTCTGTATGAATATAATGTCAAAAAGAAAAAAAGAAAAAAAAGAACATAATTAATGTTAAAATTTAGCTTTTTTCTATTTTCTAATAAAAAAAAAGGCCCATGTTTCTCAATTTATAATGCAAGCTTCTGAGTGTGTTTAAAGCTTCTTTTATGTATCCTTTAAGGGCATTGTCTCAACTTAAAAATAAGAATATATTAAAAAATAGTTGAAAGAAATCTCAGAAAGCAAATTAAATGTAATATAAAACAAATAGCACTAGCTAACCTCATTTTTTATTGAAAAAATATTTATCAGGTAGATGAAAACGAAGGTGAAAATGACTCTTTGGGTTATATAGCATGAACATATATCAATTTATCAATGGAGTGTGTTCATAGAGTGATCTTTTATTAACCTTAACCAAAGAAACACACGAAAAAGGCCAAACTTAAACGCTTATAGTGCAAAATTAAATCTAAAATTCATTCGGTTTTCAGGTTAGAGGGTGAATCAAAATCTGAAGGATCACTCTACGAATAGGTAAGTTCTCGTTGATTTCGCCAAAGTTACTGAATGAGTAAGTCACCGATTCATAAAAACGGATTACGTAATATATTTTATTTACTGAGTTACTAAAAACATAGAGATTTTGTTGAACCGTGTACTTGGAAATCCAACCGGTAGAACCACCTAAATTGAAAATTATTTGTAGAAAGAGGCACGAGGATATACCTAAGAAAAATATTCTCCCCAAGTCTAAACCTTGACCTATAGATACCGTCCATGTCGCCGAGCAAACCTCCAAGATCATGACCACCACGTGGCGATCTCGCCAGCATCTAAGGAAAGTTGCCTATGCACATTGGTTGGATATACAAAATAAATGTGTGCGTATATATATCATAGTATATAATTAATGTAACTGTTATGGTCCATTGTAATGCACTTTGAATGTCAACATGATTTAAATTGGTAGCATATGGTTAGTTGGGGAGGGATGGAGGGACGGCATACTTGAGTGAGACCCATTCTACCTTTTCTGTGGGGGGTGGTTGGTGGGTACTGCTTGGAAAGAGACTGCTACTACTTAGTTCACTACATTCTTCATTCTTCTACCTCCTTATCTATCTCCTCCTCTTCTTCTTTTAGAGAGAGAAAGTGTTTAGAGAGAGAGAGATGGGGAATTGCCAGGCTGTGGATGCTGCAGCACTAGTGATACAACATCCGAGTGGGAAGACACAGAGGATGTATTGGCCGGTGACTGCTACAGAGGTGATGAAAATGAACCCGGGTCACTATGTTTCTCTCATAATTCCGTTGGACATTTCTGGCGAAGAGAATTCGGATGATAAGACGGTGCGTTACACTCGTGTGAAGCTTCTCCGGCCAAGCGACACTCTTGCTCTTGGCCGAGCCTATCGGCTCATCACCTCTCAAGGTTGGTCTCTTTCTATCTTTTTTCATCTAAAGATGTAATTACGTGTAACTACAGTTTTTATGGAAGCCATGTGTTTTCTGGTTCTAAAGTGGGTTGTTTTCTATGGTTATAGAGGTTATGAAGGTGTTACGAGCAAAGAAGTACGCGAAAATGAAGAACCGGCCTGAATTGGCTGAGAAGTTGCAGATGAATATGGAGAAGCAGAGTTCGAATCGTGAGGCAGAAGCAAGAGGGTCTGAATTGGAGAAGACCAGTCAGGTAACTCCCCTGCAAAGAAGCCATTACCAATCTGGATTTTTCTATATGTTTTAGTATGCAGGCGCACGCGCACACACATACACACACATACGAACACACATAATATCAATAATAAGAATAGTTCAAAATTTGATGAATTTATTCTATATGAGGAAGTCTATAAAATTGTGACAAATATGTTGGTGATATAGCTAATTTAAGCAGAACATGAAAACATTTAGCAAGAGAGCATTTACCACTTAAAAAATGCACAAACAATTCGATTTTCAGAGGGATGATTCATATAAGCAAATCGTTTCAATTTATTCAAAGCACTGTTTCTGTTAATTGACACCTTCACACAGCCTCATAAAGTTGAAAAATTAAGATGGATAGTAACAAGAGTGAGAGAGCAAGGGAATTTGTCAAGGTTTTCTTTAGTAATAGAATAGAGTAACAGAAATTAGTCACAGAAGGTTCCGTTTTTTCAAGATTATCTGTTCATTCTCATATGTGAATACTTATAAATCATACCAAATATTTCAGGCAACGAGACACGAAAGACGCCGGCAAAGATCAGGATCAACAAATTTTGCTGCAGCAAGGTCAAAATCATGGCGTCCCTCCTTACAGAGCATCTCCGAGGCTGCAAGCTAACGTGCTTCTGTGTGTAACGTCCGCAACAACTCATGAAATGTATAGTGAATACCCATTTAGAGATGCACGTTCATGATGGACTTCCAGACCTGGAAAACAGAGATACAGTAAATTCATGGAAGTTGCCACCAAGATTTCAAACCATCATCGACCACAACTTGAGTATTTGAACCACTTCTAATAAGACAATTTCTGTATAGCTAAGGAAACAGCAATGGATAATCCGGCAATGTTTTCGTGACAAATATTACATTGCCAATCTATGTGTAACTTCCAAGTCTTTCCCCGTGTTTTCATTGTCGATGAGCAGAAGATTAAACAGTAAATACAACTTGTAAAATATAGAATGTATGAAAGAGTTGGAGACAATCACTTGGGTGGTTTTGAGTTCCAAACTTCCCAGTCCTGATCGACATAATTTTGAGCCCATAACAGGGACGCTCTTGCAGCCAAAGGCGCTCCAGGGAGTTTCTTCTCCTTGAGTGCAACCAACATATCAGTGAAAGGCTCCACCAATAATGTCCCGGGTCCTCCATATTCCTTGTGCAAGAATTCACTAAATATCTGAGGTCCACACATGAAGCTAATTAATTGACAGAATTTTGAACAATATATTTTAAATTTGAATCTTCTGTCATCCGTTTAAATCATCACAAGTCCACATATCTAGTACATTGCTAGCATTGGGCCAAATATGCAAAAAAAGTTCAAAAGCAGCTTGAGGACAGCTGTATAATACTGTTTGTTTTGTTGTAAAGTCATATATTCCATATGGGAGTCTATTGTTGAATTATTTGCAGGCCAAGAACAGCCAGACCTCTTAAGAAAGAGAAATAAATAAACAAAAATCACTCCTTTTCCCAACTACTCGGGGTTGGCTATATGAATCATATGTTATCATATTCTTTCTTACTAACTCTATCCACGTTAACTCTGGTCTTCCTCTTCCCTAGTAGGAAAAATAAATAAATGTTCAATAATTTCAACAAAAATTTGTCTTGTGAAAGACTACAACCATCTGAAATTAGAAGATATACATTAAGTTGTTTGGCTAAGACCAGTAAATCATGTGCAACAAACAGGATGTGCGCGTGTGTGCTTGTGTGTCCTACTTTGCCAGTCTCCATTAAGCTGACCCCAAAACAATAGGAATAAAGCTTGGACAATGACTAGCACTCTCCATTTGCCTTGGATCATAACGTAAAATACAACAAAACAAATACAATCTCTCTATTGTGACTACAAAAGCAATATACAAATTCTACTTTTTCTCCCCTAGATGTATTTGCGCAATATAAAGTGTCATTTCCACTAACTCAATCCTTTAATAAAGTTTATTAATATATGTCACTCTTGCTTTTGTTACCAGGATATACCTTTCAATTATTATACTACTTGCATTCCCAGAAAAGTTAATAATCATCATACAGGTAGCAAATGTTATATATTTAGTTTGATATATCTATCAACTTTGTTACTCAGACATATCAATTCTGCAAATTTCTAACTAATCCACTCATTGTGGAGCCTCCAATATGAGTAAATGTTTCCCATCAGGTAACCAAATAGCTTATTAAGGAAAGATTCAATACGGCAAGTATTACCAGGAATGGTTCTCTCTTTATTTATCTGCTTTACTGCTTTATATTGCATTTTACATTTGATAAAGGTCAAACTATCTGTTAGAACTTCAAGAAAAATGAAGTGAAACGAAAATTCTGATAAGGATCTGCAAGAGATGACCTGGACAATGCTCAAATTTGCTTCAGTAGAACCCATTTCATGCAGGAGGCGGTGAATCAAGAGAATACGTGTAGAATGAAGTTGGAGATTGTTCAAAATCAAAAGAGAAAGAGAGAGAGCAAAAGCGTATTCTCTGTGTATATAAAACCAACTTACAAAACCTAATAAGCCTATGTAGGCTTATATATGTTACAAGGTTTACATAATAACACAAACAGCCTATTAACTAAACATAATTACATAACGACCCATTATTATATATATATAACTTCTAACACTCCCCCTCAAGCTGGAGAATATATATCAAATAATCCCAGCTTGGAACAGATAGTTCTTAATCGATTATGACCCAATGCTTTGGTAAACATATCAGCTAATTGATCTTCAGACTTCACGAATGGAATAGAGATGCTCCCGCGTAATATTTTTTCTCGAATAAAGTGACAATCAACTTCAATATGTTTGGTCCTCTCATGAAACACAGGATTTGATGCAATGTGAACTGCTGCTTGATTATCACAGAACAATGGAGTAGGAGCTTCAACTGTCAACCCAAGTTCTTTTAGAAAATGTTGTATCCATGTCAACTCACTAGTGGTATGGGCCATTGCCCTATACTCAGCTTTAGCACTAGATCGAGCTACCACCGTTTGCTTTTTATTTCGCCATGTAACTAGATTTCCTCCTACAAATGTGCAGTAGCCGGTAGTAGATCTCCTATCTGAAGGAGAATCGGCCCAGTCGGCATCTGTAAAACCTTCCACCCTGAGATGACCATTTGGTTTATATAGTAACCCAAAACCTGGAGCTTGCTTGAGATATCGGAGAATTCGAAGAACAGCAATCCAGTGTGGCATTCTAGGGGCTCCCATGAACTGACTTACAACACTAACAGCATATGAAATATCAGGTCGAGTGATAGTGAGATAAATTAATTCCCCAACAAGGCGACGAAATCTGCCCGGGTCACTAAATAGATCACCCACATCAGCTACAAGTTTTGTATTTGAATCCATAGGAGTATCAACTGGACGACCACCTAACATACCTGTTTCTTCTAATAAGTCCAACACATACTTTTGTTGGGATAAACTTATACCTGTCTTGGATCTAACTACTTCAATACCCAGTTAATACCTAAGTTTACCCAAGTCTTTAGTGTGGAATCAATATTGCAGAAACAACTTCAACTTAGCAATGCCTTCAGAATCATCACCTGTGATCACAATATCATCAACATACACCACAAGAATTATGAAACCAGCTTTAGTGCGCTGGTGAAATACCGAATGGTCAGTCTGACACCTTTGAAGACTAAACTTTAATGCCACCTCAGAGAATTTTCCAAACCAAGCCCGTGGAGATTGTTTCAAGCCATATAGAGCCTTTTTAAGGCGACAAACAGTGTGAAGATACTCCCCCTGAGCAACAAACCCAGGTGGTTGCTCCATATAAACCTCTTTTGCTAAGTCACCATGCAAAAAGGCATTTTTAACTTCTAACTGAAACAGAGGCCAATGTCTATTAGCAGCAAGAGAAATCAAAACACAAATAGAGGAAATCTTAGCAACAGGTGCAAACGTCTCATCATAGTCAATACTATAAGTCTGGGTATAACCTTTGGCAACAAGACGTGCTTTTAAACGCTCAACGGACCCATCCGGAAGATACTTCATAGTATATACCCAGTGACAACCAACAGGTTTGACACCTGGAGGTAATGGAACAAGAGTCAACGTGCCATTCGTATGCAAAGCATCCATTTCATCCTGCATTGCTTTCCTCCAACCCGAATCAGACAAAGCATCCTGCACAGTCTTAGGAACAAATATAGTAGACAACTGAGAGGAAAAACATGAGAATGATGGTAATAAGGAATTATAAGAAACATAATGAGCAATGGGATGTTTAGTAGCACACGAGCGAGGAGCTTTACAAAGTGCAATCAGCAAGGAATCAGACACAGTGGAATTTGTCGGATCCAAAGACTCTGAAGATGATGGAGGAGGCACGACAGCAGATGGCTTTGGTCTTCGAGTGTACACCTGTAACGGGGCAGATGAAGGAACCAGAGATTGAGACTGAAGAGAAGGTGAGAGAAGAGGAACTGCAGAAGGAGGTGACTCAAGATTGATATCAAGAAGTGAATCAGTATCTAAAAAATAAGGGATGGACTCAGAAAATGTGACATCCGCGCTAATAAAGTACCGTTGAGAAACAGGACTATAGCAGCGATAACCTTTATGAGAACGAGAGTAGCCAAGAAATACACACTTTGTGGCACGTGGGTCTAGTTTATCAAAACCAGGAACAAGATTGTGGACATAACATACACATCCAAAAACCCTAGAAGGAAAAGAAAACAAGGGAGAATTAGGAAATAAAATAGAATGTGGAGATTTGCCATTTAATACAGATGACGGCATACGGTTAATAAGATGACAGGCTTTAAGAACAGCATCACCCCAAAACCGTTTAGGCATATGCATATGAAACAAAAGAGCACGAGTTACTTCTAAGAGATGTCGATTCTTACGTTCTGCAACTCCATTTTGTTGTGGAGTATAAACACATGAATTTTGATGAATAACTCCTTTATCACTAAGATATGTATCAAAGGGAGTTGAAGAATATTCCTAAGCATTATCAGAACGTAGAATACGAATTGGACATCCAAACTGAGTTTTGATTTCTTTGGGAAATTTTTGAAAAATTAAAAATAACTCAGAACGATCTTTCATTAGAAACAACCAAGTCAGGCGAGAATAATCATCCACAAATGTCACAAAATAATGAAATTTATTGATTGAAGAATGTTTTATTGGACCCCATACATCTGAATGAACCAAATGAAAAGGACTAGAAACACGATTATTAACCCTAGACTTAAAAGACACGCGATCGTGCTTACTAAGTTGACAAACTTCACATGACAAGAATTTCAAATAACTAAGACTAAGAACTTGACGCTTCAAAACTTGAAGTGACGGGTGACCAAGGCGACAGTGCCACTGGAATGGAGATAGAGAAGACTGAAGAGCCACAGGAGAAGGTTCGAAATCAAAATAATATAAGCCACCGACTTTATGCCCCGTACCAATCTTCTTCTTCGTCTTGAGATCCTGAAACACACAAGAAGTAAGATCAAATATAACAGAGCACTGGAGAGATTTAGTAAGCTTACTGATAGACATTAAGTTAAAGGGAAACTGCGGAACATGTAAAACAGACAAGAGAGACAATGAATCACTAAGTTGAGTTGTCCCCAAACCTGAAACCTGAATGGATGAACCATTAGCAAGAGTAACACTTTGAGAAGTAGGTACAGAATGAAAATCAGATAGAAGAGAAGAACATCGGGTCATATGATCAGATGCTCCAGTGTCTATGATCCAAGGACTGCGAGTGGAAGACAATAGACATGTGTGTGCAGTACCTGACTGGGCAAAGGTAGCCGTGGAAGATGAATTAGATGCTTGCTTATAAGACAAAAACTGAGGATACTCATCCCGTGGAACATGAACTGTATCTGATTCAGCTACATTGTGCGATCCAGAAGCGACATCATTCGGAGAAGAGGAAACTTGATTTGCATAACTAGATGGTTTCCCATGAAGGTCCCAACA